ATATATATATATATATATATATATATATATATATATATGCTTTGAAGCTGTGTTTATATGTGAATTATAATAAAAAAACACATAGCAAAAGTCAAAACGTATTTCATAAATATTCTAAAGGCATTTGTTCTTGGATCTCTTTTAAATTACTTTTGTAGCCCTGCCTCTTAGTTTGTTTTTACTATTTTCTATGGGGATGCACATGTACATTGGGGCAGAGTTACAGTTGTAATGGACTGAACATCCTTTGAAACTAATGCAAACAGCAGTTGCATAACCCTGATACCTTTCCAAGCCCCAGCATGCACACTTCACATCATCCTACTGCCTCCCATGTTATATTCTCTAATACTGGAAAGCATCACCATAAACATTGCCACTACCACCAAATTAATCTCCTAGAAACACAATCTTTATACTAGTCCAACAGTGGAACAGATGGCTTCCTCTAGCTTTTACTATAATTCTGCTTACACGAAAAATCAAATCAGTATTATCAACTCATTTATCACCTTATACTGAGTTAGACTAAACCCTTGTAAAGCATCAAAATTAAGTATTACCCTAAAAATGCCACTGATTTCTTGTACTGTACAACTTAGCCCAGGCAAAGATTTTTTTTCAATTCACCAGCTGCTAACATTCAGATTTCCTTTTCAAAGACATACATTCTCTTAAAGCACTGTTACTTAAAAAAAATACTTTTCCGCACTGGAATACAGCACATGCATTCCACACTAGAGTACAGCACATGAAAACAGCATATAATACCGCTCAGGTTCACCACAAATTATATCAAATACATGAGGTTGGGGGAGAAACCAAACACACACTAACAGGTTGAAACATGCTGCAGTTACCTCACCACTGTATTTGTCATATTTCCCATGAGTAAAACCAAAAGTAACCTCGCCTTTTTTGAAGCATTTGTATTAGCAGCTTTATTTGGGTGGAGCAAGAAAACTCCACAGCAGCAATTAATTTAACCCTTATCACCATAAAAATGTAGAAAGGAATTGAGATACTAGCTGCTGGCATTATCCACAGCTGAACATGTTCTCAAGAAATTCTTGGGTAAACATCAGTGTAATTTGAACATGAAAAGCAACATTTCTTTACAGAACAATATTCAGGCTCTATTTTAAGTTTGGCAAAACCAATGCAGATTTACAAAATTATGGAAAAGCTATGCCTCCAACTGTGAAGAGTGTGAAATTCTATGGTATTTACTACAGATCTGAACATATTTGCAAGAGCAGTTTATAACCAGGTCTATCATCAGTGTTTCAGTATCCTTGCAGGATTTCCATACATTTTAAATTATATGTAAGTTAAACTAAAACAGAAAAATGCCCAGAAAATTATGACATGAATTCATGCTAAATTACCAATATAAGTATGTTAGCAATTCAAAGGGCATCTCTGTATTTACTTGAATAAAGACAAGCTTTATATTCCAACTGATGTCTAAATACTTTTAATCATCTAGGGATAGCTTTCTCTCAAGCTTTTTTCATATTAAATAATGTGTATGATTTCTTCCAGCTTTTATTGCGCTAATAGGTTCAAAAGTCAGGAATGCAACATTATATGTTTCATATTAGAAATTACAGAAGCCTTTAAAAAGGCGGAGACTTCAAGATGGCACAAGCCAATAGTTATTAGAATTGCCCAAAAGTTATGATACATTGTGAATTCTTCCTGAAAAAAATACAAAAATACCAACTAAATACTACGTTATACTACAATATTCACCCAGAAATAATTCTACTTCAGACTAGTTATCCTATTTTCCAACCTGCCCTGTCCATTTATATCAGGAAAACATTTCCCAATTTCTAACAATATTTATAGTACATTTTTCATCAATGCTCCACATTTTTACACAAATCCTTCAAGATTTATCAAGTTTATCCCTATGATACTCATGCACTAAAGTAGAGAAACAGTCTGAGACCACCAAAATCACACTGGAGTTGAGATTTTAATTAATTCTGTTCTACAGCGTTCAAAGATCATTACCTTGTTTTACATCATGTATACTGTAACATATAACCTGCATGTATTTCGTATAGAAATTCTCCTTTGGATGTTACTAGTACATGTAAGAAAATAAACTTATGTAAAAATCTGCTGTGTCATGTCCAAAGCAGAGTCATTCACAATCCTTTCTGTTATGACCTTATCACACAATTTTTAAGCCATATTTTCCCTGTACTAATACAAACTCATCGGAATCTTTATCTTTTTTTCCCCTCTTCTCACCAGAGGATGAATACACACATACCACACATGTATATAAGATCATACATACACGAAGGGAACCATTACATAAATAAACCCACATTCTGCTTTAGATTATTAAACATTAGATTATTAGACTAAATCTCATTGATTTAAGCATACGCCTGACCCAACCATCTCAGGAGCAGCTTTTTCTACTCTCTACCCCTCAAAAGGTACATAAATAAATATAATTACACTGATGGTCTCTACTTATTCTCCACAATTTTCATCTAACTTAGTACATACTGGTATCGGAGGTTGGCTGAAGAGAAAGGCAACAGATCTATCAATCTCAAGGGAGTATCCAAGAAGCAGGTATAGAATTCTGTGCTTATCCATGCACTTTTTGCTTTTCAAAAAAGTGGATTCATTTGTCATATTTTTTAGTGCAACTGGGGCAGATCAATGTTTAAAACATAACAGACATTTCACAAGCTCTTAAACTAGCAACAAAAATGTTAAACAGATTCAGAACAGCATATTTTTAACTTGTACAATTTTGTAAGATTTTTACTGTTTTTATGGCTTTTATTTGTGAGCCACCTAGAGTCATTTATATAGTAAGATGGGTGGTGTCTAAATGGAATTTATGAATTAATAAAATAAATATCAGTTGAAAGCAATACAAGGGACAATGAGAGAGTCATATTGTTCCCAGAATACAACAAGTATTTGGAAAAACAGAGGAAAATGAGCAGTTAAGACTTTATATGTAAATATTGTTACAGAGCATAATTCATGTGGATCATAACCATGATAAAAAGATTTCTGGATCAACAGTGTAATGAAGAACACAAGGGAGCAAGCAACAGGTCCCATACTACTTTTCTCTGACTAAAAATATATTCAGAATTATGAAGTTGCTATTATCTTTTCCAAAATATACTGCCCTCCATCAGAAATGTACAAAGTAGGGCTACATTTTAACATCTGAGATGTATGCATCAGATTAAGCATCTCAAAACCATACCACATATCCTTATAATTATGATTTTTTTTAAAGGCTGAGGATCAGTTCATAACAATCATTGAAGAGGTGAATTACAGAGTGATTGGAACTAAGAATGAAAAGATTTCTCTTTCTCTTACAGCATTCAGACATACTAAGTCCTCTCCTATGGAATGCAGAAATATTGCTGTAAAATGCTTAATAATGAAGTCTACCTGTTTAGACAGCATCATGACATACTGAAATAGCTTTCTATTTGATTGGCTGTCTAGCTGCAGTTCACTTCTTTTTCAAGCTGATTATTTCAACAATTTAATATCATGCAGGAATGTAATTCATTTCGTCTCAGTAAGAATTACATGCCAAAACACTGAATATCCATATAGAATCAACTCACATTATTACATTACCCTAAGTTATTATAAGAGTAGGTGCACCCACAAGCATGCGTAAGTGCAAGAAGGCCTTTGCTCCTGCTCCTATCATCCCAGGATTTATTCACCCTGCCAGATGAGCAAGCCAAATGATTATTCACCATTTACATGAGAGTCTTTTCACCACATCCCCAAAGACATATTTGAAAAACAGGAGGAACAAATCTGGCCACCATTTGGGCCCTGAGCACCACTTAAGACCGTCAATTATTCTCTATTTCCAGTTGGAATCCTGCTCTTCTAACGCATGTATGTGTATTATTTTAATGCATGTTTTGCAACCTGTACACGTGATCATCAAGCGATTATCAGGAGGGCAGAGAGAAACTAATGAGAAGGCACGAGAGAATGAGAAAACTGGCTTGAGGAAGGTAACAATCAGTCTTATTAAATCCACGAACCATTCCTGCCTCTGGATGGGCCTCCCCCTCCCTCCTCCTGGTGCCCACCAGCTGTGCTGGAAGACAACCACTATCCTCCCCAAGCTGGCTGCTGAGAATGGTGGCAGTGGCCGCCAGACATCGCTGGAAGACACCGGCTCGGGAAGAGCAGCTCATCATCGAAACACACACCCCATTCAAACGAACCACAACCCCAGAGAAGTCAGCCGAGCCCGCCTTACAGTAAACACCTATTAGAAGGCACACCCTCGGCTCCGGAGTGGTGAAACAACTCCTCTCCCCCATTTCCCCTCCTCTCCGAAGAGCAGAGCGACCGAGGTGGAGTTGGACTTGCGGGGGGGGGGAGAAGGAGGAGGAGGAGGAGGAAGTGGGGAAGAGCCCTCTGTGGTGAAAAGTTTAAAGCAAAAACCCGAAGGAAGAGCGCGGGGGGGAACCTGCCGGCCATACCATGCCCCCCCCGTGCCACGGTCGATGCCCGCTTCCTGCAACTGTGAGGGCGGAGGGCAGGGACTCCCCCCCGCAGCCCACTAAAGGGAGGAAGGAGGCGACCCAGCCGCTCCTCGGAGCCGCTGCCACCCCGCGCCCGGCCTCTTACCTGGATGTAGTTGTTTTCGCAGTAGTCGGCGACCCTGGTGAGGTTCTGGTAGCTCTCCACCAAAGCCCGCTTGCCCGAAGGGATTTCCTCTTCTAGTAACATTTGCAGCTCTGCCATTTTCCACCCTTCGGCATTGCTCCCTCCGGCGTTCAAGAGACCGCGGGAGCGCCACCGGCTCACGACCCGCCTGCTATTGTGGGAGCCCTTCTCGCCTGGCTCTCGCCTCAGACGCTCGGCTTTCCCCGCCCGCTCGCGACCCTTCCCTTCCCTACCTTCCTTCCTCTCAAGAGCCCTCCTCCTCCTCCTCCTCCTCTCCTCCTCCACCCACCCGCCTCGACCCGAAGAGGCGGGCGCGCGGTAAGGCGGGGGGTGGGGTCCCGGCCGCGCCTGGGGAGGCCTCTACCGCCTCTCTGCTCCCCTCCCC